AAACAAGCACATTCATGTGACTTTAAATATAATTTCTAGGAGTTCAGAGACCTCCTGAGACCATCTGTGACTTATACCCATTACAGTCAGGTTGAAAACTCTTAGTTGCAATGCTCAAAGCAGAGATAACTTTTCTCTTTCCTAATAGGATAGATTTGGTCTCCAAAAATAAGGCTAAAACAGGTGAGGATTAATATTTTTAAAGCATGTCTTGACTTAAGGACTGTACTACAGAATTATCTCTTAGTTATGAGTTCTTACTTTCTGCTAGTTACTCTTTTTCATCATAAGGACAGCTCAATCATTCCATAATAGAAATCCTCCCACATGAATGGAAGGAAAGGGTGTTTTTCTGACTCTCTCTTTTCTTGGGCCTATCTGTGGGTTTGGGCCTAACCATACCCTTAACTTTGAGATACAGTGTTTTATAGGTCAGTACTGTTACAAGTGCAGGACACTAGTAGATGGTGCTGTGGCACAGGGGCAGTTCTACCATGAACCCAAGGGACGAGGAACCTGGTGAAGGGATTCCATTTGCTCCAGAAAGCCTTGGAGTCCTTTTTTCTGCTTTCCTATAATGATCCTGTGGCCTGTATCCCACTTGCGGAGTAGTTTATACTCAGCTAAGTTAGAGGTATTTCATTTACTGAGTATAAGGGAGCCCACACCCCATACTCTCTGGGGTCATTTTCGTATTTGCTTGCAGCCTCAACGAGCACCCTCTTCCTGCGGCACTATAAATTCTTCCTCTGGTAAAACTGAATTCTGAGAAAGAAGGATGGAACAAAATTGCTTTTGACCTAAAATTGAGACAATGGTAATCTCTTGAGTAATTTAAAGATCTTGTGTAAACCTTCTCAGCTATTGGCCTTTACCGAGTGCTTACCGTGTGTCAGATGCTGTAGTACCGTTACTTGGGATTGCAAAGATGAACATGGACTTTCTGGCACTAATAAGACATCTTAATGGAGTAGAAGTGGGTGATGCACTGGAAGGAGCAGGAGCTTTATTATGAAGCAAATGAATCCTCACTCTTACAAACTTGGACAAATTACTTTTAAAAGAGGAGCTATGAAGATACAACATCCATAACGACCATAGCCGACTGCCTGCCTGATCATAATAGGTATTCAGTAAATGATAAATTATTAAGGAAGGCTTTGGTAGATTCCTTTCAGGTAGGTCTCCTAAATCCATGATACTGTTAAACTGGGAAATCAGCCCAAATCTCCCTCTCTTTCCTTGTCATAGACTTGGCCAAATTATTAGGTTATGTCAACTATCTGAGCTCAGTTTTGTTTGACCAAGTTTCCAAGTACTTAGGCTTGTAGAGCCAAATATTAGGAAGATTTTGAACCATTCATTTGTTATACAGATATTTATTGAGGGCTGTGTATATGCTGGCTGCTGGGATTACAATGATAAACAAGGACGTGGTCCTTGATCTGATGGACCTTTCAGTGTAGTGGGATCCAGACACATTTAAACACATGTGTATAGAAATCATTAAAATCTTGTGAGCCTTCAGCTATAGAATGCATGTGATTCAGTACTAACTGTGAGTCCCCTCTTCTTCATACCTGGGTTATTTGTGCCTTAGACTCTTTAAAGAAAGGTCAAGAAGAATAATATTTTCCCTCTGTGTTTTGCGAGCTCTTAGTGTGCAGTAGTTTAGGGGGTTCCCCCCTAGCTGTGACCGTGGATATTATATAAAATGGCAGGCATTGTCTAGGTGTGATTCCACAGGAAACCAGTACCAGACATAATTGTTCCGTTATGATGGTAATTGCTAGTTTGATGAGGGATTTGAGACCATTTTAGAGCACTGGTCTAAATGCTTAGCAGCTGCATAGTATTCCAGTGTATAGATATTCAGTTATTTATTTAACCACATGATCATTTTCAGCTTTTGCTGCTATGAATAATGAGGCAGGGAATATCCTTTTATATATTTTTTTGGCAAACTTTTGTAAGTATGCTTATAGAGTAAAATAGGAACTTGTTTGATCAGAGAGTAGATTGTATTTACATTTTGATAGATATTTGCCAAAATCTTTTATCCATGAAGATTCTTATTAAGTTTGGATGGGACCAAGCAATCTGTATATTTAACTAGCTCCTTCAGTGATTTTGATGCAGCCAGGTTTGAGAACTATTGCTGCATCAGAGAAATGGCAAGATTCCCTGCAAGTAAGGAGTATGGTGCATCCTTTCTGGAAACAATCTGGCAATTATGAGTATCTAGGGAAGAGTAAACATCCTTTTTAATGAGCAGTAAGAGCCTGTCTGTCTATAGTAGCAGTTGCTAGGGATGGCTCATCTTTAGAGAAGCAAGTGTACTAATACTTATCTGGAATATTTTATGTCTTTTGACATGTAATGTTGGTGGAAGGAGCGTAAGTATTGTAAGAATCTGAGTTTGAGCATCTTCCACTTACTAACTGGGCAAATTAATGAACTTGAATCTTTCTTTATACAATGTTAATGATCGTATCTTCCTT